CATCGCTGTCCAAGCAAGAGGCCATCGGTTCGGGTGAAACGGCCGGCCATCGCGTAGGTCCAACACGGTTCGGGGTTCCGAAACCGTTAAACCATGTCACTTTGGTTCGGTTCACTGGACTCCACAGTTCTACACCTCCAGTCGTACCTCCTCAGAAGGACCCTCCTGGCACCCACCCCAAACATCCCCAAACAGCTTCTCAGAAGGTACTTGGAGGTGTAGGGCAAAGGCTGAGCACCCCGGACTCCACAGTTCACTGGCTGCCCCTTGGCCGTCACTTTCCTCGGAGAGTGCGCAGAGCAGGGTGCCAGGGAGGAGGTCCACAGGTGGGGTTCAGCACGGGCTTCGGTGGGGAAAGGGTGATTCCAGGCTCCATGGATTGAGAAGGAGATGGATGTGGACAACACCCCAATAATCGTAGATCAGCGTCCAAGTGAACGATTTCTGTTCATTGCCCGGGTCTTCATCCAGTGTATATTTAACGCCTAGGTCAATGGACTATAGCTTGCAAAATCGATGGTTCCCTGTGAACTACACCTCCAATCGTACCTCCTCAGGTTGTTCGGTATGACTGGACCCGAGAATGGCACCCGGGCCCCCAGTCCCACCTTCAACTTCAACGAAGGTACGAAAACGGAGGCCTTTAACGGCATGAATTCATCGAGGGCCCAGTCTCGCGACGCCAGCGTCTCGATTTCTTCCAGACACGACCTGCCTAGGACTGCCATATATATGCCGATCAGTTGGGGTAGTTGACTGGGGGTCAATGGATGTCAATGGGGCGGCACAGCGTAGGCAGTCCCATTAGTCGTGTCTAGTATTGTTTTTCGTGATGCGATGCAATGAGCCTCCAAAGAATGTGAACTCCAGGCCTAGGCCTGTTGGAAAAGAGAGAAACTCGCCATCCACGGAAACCATGTTGCTGCCTACCAGGACCCTCCAACGGGTGTCCAATGGAGATCCCTAGGTAGTGTAGGGGCTTCCAGCCAGGTGACCCCAGAATGAAGGTGCTGGTAGAAAACATGAAAAAAAAAACATTCCCCAGAAGGGGGATTGACATGGATTCACCGTGATTCCCTGTGGACCAAAAGCCACATGTGTGGTACCTGATCCACATAAAACCAAGCATTTCGGTTCTTCCATCTGTAGTGCACATTTCTGCACCTCCAGGACTACGAGTGGCGCCAGAACTACAGCACGGATTTGTTGGTTTTGGCCATTGACGCCAAGTGTCTTGAAGGTCCCCCACTTTGAGCCGGTGTCCATCACCTCCCATCGGCACCGGTTCAGGCATCGGCAGCCGCGCCGCACGGTCGGGTCGGGTGATGACGAAACCAAGACCGCCCGTGTTCAAGCCACCCGAATTCCGTGGTGCATCTGGTTTGGATTTTGTAGATGTTGAATGATGTTGATCAGTCTGCGCTGCCTGGGTGGAGAGTGGCTTCTGCGGCATGGGTAAACCATGGTAAGCCCCTTGATCCGAACAGTTACCTGCGGTCTATACCCTATTACGTATACCAGTAACAGTGGATGATGATGGTTCAGTTCAGTTGCAGGCCTTGTTCAATAAAGTGATAAGTCTTCCGGACTGTTTACTGGGACAGGCCCAGTTATACAAAGATTATCCCCATGTAAGTCAATATACCCGCCAACCGAACGCTCGCCTCCAGTCGAACGCTCGCCTCGCACCCTCGCCTGTCCTCGGATTTTTAGCCCACCCACCCTCAGAATCCGGGGAACCAACCCATTGGGGAGTTGGTTCGGGTCCGGACCACTGCGTTGAAGGTGGAGAAGACTCCGAAAACACACCAAAACAAGTTGCTGCCACACGTGCTTTGTGGCGGGCACCTGAAACTTGTCGTTCTCGTCGTCGTACATAATGCCTCGGCAACGAGAGTTGCAGAATTCCAAACAGGTCAACGATTGGGAAGCGGCGCCCAGCACCAAGCACTGCACAGGGCACTGTGCAGCAAAACGTTCCATGCGTTCCATCCAATTCTCTGGCTGCTTCTCCCGGTTCAAAAAAAAGAACACGTCCTAGTGGTCACTGACCATACTCATTCACCATCAGGATGCTGAAGTGTGATCGCGACGCAATGGGCTCCGTCATCAGCACATGCGGCTGCAGCATCCTGCCCCGTGCCACCACCGCCCGCGGAGCAGGCTCGACTGGGGTGTCTCAGAGTTCATATCGAATGAAAACCAGAAAATCATCCAACGAGGACTACGAGGACAGTGAGTCCATGCCACCCAACAGTTTTTACATGTGTTTAAACCATTTCCACGTTCTCCCCATCTCTTTTGACTCACCTGTCACCTCTGACTCCGATCCTGAAGTATCATTCATTCTTCTGACATGTTTTTCACACTGCATCGAAAGGATCCAAGAAGACAGGTGGTTTCAGAGGCTCGATGGCACAATCCCCAAGTCAAGTGGTTTAGATGGACCCCTATATCAAAGACATCTTGGGGTGCCAGTGCCATCGAACCTCTGAAACCACTGTAGATGGATGGAATCACTCGCTTCTTCCGAAGCCTAAAGGTAGACATCGTTGATCATGGCCAAATAAACATATAGAGATACAGTGTAATATAATGACCCAGAACCTGAATGACCTCTATTTTGGACCACCAACCACCCAAAATAGGGCCTTTTCCTATCAAAACAGGGGTCATGCCTGGGGTTCTAGGATGATATGATCACTTTGCCAGGACCCTGACTTCCAGACCTTTCTTAGAGTGACCCTCTCAATGGACCGGATCTGATCCTCTTCCCTGCCCTGCGTCGCCTGCTTCCCTCGGTACGCCCGCGGCCAAACTTGGTGGTCAAAGAGCAGCTGGTGTCGTTGGGCCTGGGCACGGCGGGCACGGCACGTAGTAGCTAGCATCGCAGTAACAAGGGCATCACGTTCGTAGCTCCTGGCATCGCTAGGAACAAGAAGCTACGAACGTAGCAAGGATGCTATTAGATGGAGGCCATCGCTACTAGTAGCAAGAGGCACGTTGGGCCTTGTTGGCGGGCACGACGCGTTGGCCACTACGCGACACGAGCTTGCCCACCTGATGTTCTGGGACTGCAAGATTCAAGTAGATTTCTGGTGTCCTTTTGTCACATTGACATGATGTCACATGTATGTGAAAAGTGGTGAGACATGGTGGTTAAGCATATGCCATTCTCGCACGCTCTCGGTGAAACAATTCCACCACTTCCAAGTGGTCATTCTCAGCTGCAGCCATCAAGGCAGTGATCCCATCCCTTGCAGCATTGATGTCAGCTCCAGCCTCTAGCAACAACCGAACCACTTCCAAGTGGTTT